CGTTGGGGAGAAATTGGTAACAGAATGGGCATTCAGGATGGAGTGAAAAATATGTTCTTTAAAAACAACACAGATAGAATAGACTAAGTTTTGGTAACAGAACTGCCCAGCAACTAGTTAAAGAGCTTTCAGGAATGGGGCAGAACCCGCTCTTTGATATTGCTTCTTTTCCACCACCACCCTGGTCAACTCTGATGCCAGTGAGGCTGGAACAATTCGCTGTGGCCTGGCAGGTCATTCTGGCCAGGGCTTCACTACACACTCTTTGGGGCCATGGAATGGTAGGTGGGAATGACCTTGGCCAAAGGTTGCTGGAGCCAAGGGAACAGTCAGCATAAAAGGCAACTTAGCTTGCAACAGCCATGTAGACAGGTCAAGTGGCTTCAGAAGAGACACCGCCCACCCACCACCCCAGTTACTTGGACTGTAATGGAGGTCGGGGAAGAGTTATATGTCCAGAGTCGCGCGATTCTGCCCGTGTAACCTTACAATAAAGTAACCCTACACTAAAGTAGAACGCTCTGGCTGTGCTTCCTGTCTGGTCTTTCGCAAGGCTGCCAGGCAGCTCGCGAGTCAAGATCGACCCCTTCCCAGGACCGGGTTCTCCACGCAGGGAGCCACCCTTGGAGGGAGACCCCGGCTGACCTCCCGCCAGCACCACCCAACGGGAGACGGTGGGAGCCCCGGGAGCGCATCGCAGGTGCGCGCAGGGCGAGGGCGGTGGGCGGGTGGTAGGGCAGGGGCTTCTGCGGGCGGCCCTACCTTGCCGGTAGTAGAGGCTGGTGACGGTGTTCCCGTAGACCCGCCAGGCCACCTGGATGCCGAGCAAGCTCACCAGCAGCCAGAGCAGCAGCAGCTGGAAGAGGGCGGCCCGCAAGTCCTGGGCCTCCCAGTCCGTCAGGAACTCCTGGCCGAGCCAGGTGAGAGCCCGCAACAGGCGCGTGGGGGCCTCCCACTCCGCGGAAGCGGGATCGGCCCCTGCCTCAGCCTCCGCCGCCATCACACCCGGCTCGCCGCTCGCACAATGGCGAGACCCACCAGGGCTCAGCGCTGCGCCACAAATCCAAACAAAACTGTCAGCGGCTCCTCACTGCGCATGCGCTCGAGGCAACTTGCAAACCCCTCCCAGCAGAAAGAGTCGGCGTGTATTCTTCTTTTTAGAATACTTGATTGGCCGAGTGCGATTGGACACGCAAGGAATTTGTCTTGGTGTAAATACTCTCAGTGTACATAAAAGAAAAGGTACATTCGTTAAGAATCAAGAATCATAACGTGCGACACTTCATGATAGTCATAGGGTACAATCAACAATCAAATCATACTAGGAAACAGTCAATATAAATCGTAAGGATACAAGCAACACGCTTGTATCTGACACGCGCCGGGAGTTCCTTAGGTTAGGAGCGACGGACGGAGCCCAATCGCCGCGCGCAATTCAGAGACCGGCGCAAATGAGCGTGTGATGGGATGGCAACCGAACACAGTTTTCCCGAAGTTTACTTATTTTACTCTTGTCATTCAGAGATGCCCCATATATATTTTACGCTAAGGCTTCTTTTTTTTAGTGCCGAGAAGCCGTGGAACTAAGGCAGCCTGTGCCACCTCCAACCAAGAAAAAGGACCTTTATCGGGTTCGTTTGGAGAAACGTTTAAAGAGCAAATTCAGTCGTCGAAGAATTGCATTTTTATAGGAGCAACTTCGGTACCGTTAGTTGCAGGTCGTCAGGAAAACGAAAGCAAGTTTTGAGGGAAGGAAGGAAGGAAAAGAAAGGGATACAGAAAGAAAGAAAGAAAGAAAGAAAGAAAGAAAGAAAGAAAGAAAGAAAGAAAGA